AATGAAAGAAAGTGAAGTGAGTAAGAAGAAAAAAATTATTGATGGAAGTGTTCTTGTTTCCCCCATGCCTACTCTTTTCCCAATTGCTTGAAGCCATCTGTCAAGGTGGCTAATTATTCTGATATCATTAAAATATTTAAGCAGGTGAAAATAAATATTCCACTCCTTGATGCAATAAAGCAAATTCCATCTTGTGCAAAGATCTTAAAGTACTTATGCATGGTAAAAAGGAGGCTCAATGTTCACAAGAAACCATTCCTCACGGAACAAGTGAGTTCAATTTTGAGGACAAACACTCCTCCAAAGTTTAAAGACCCCGGCTACCCCACCATTGCCATAACAATAGGGAATTGATGGGTGGAGCAAGCACTCCTTGATTTGGGGGCTAGTGTGAACCTCCTTCTATACTCGGTGTACTAACAACTCCAGCACAAAGAATTGAAGCCTACTACAATCACGCTTCAACTGGTGGACCCTAGTGTCCAAACACCAAAGGGGAGTAGTTGGGGATGTTTTAGTACAAGTCGACAAATTTTACTTTTTCGTTGATTTTATTGTGCTTAACACCCACCCAATTGCAAATCTTTGCTCCCAAATCCCTGTGATACTTGGTAGACCTTTTCTTACCACATCTAATGCTGTAATTAATTACAGGAACAGTCTTATGAAGCTAGCATTTGGGAACATGACTATGGATCTCAATGTCTTCAACTTGTACATGCAACTGGGGGATGAAGAGGAGGCACACGAGATTAACTGGATTGACACCTTGGTAGAGGAGCACTTGGAGCTAATGAGCACCTTCAAGTTGGAAGAGGAGGGATTTGTTGTTATGAAAGAGGTTGATGAGCAAGATGAGTTGGAGAGTTTGAAAGGGGTGGAGAGATGGACTCCCACATTTGAGAAGCTTCCAATGCAAGAAAAGAAAGATCTTTCCATCGGATGTACAAAAACTTATGTTGGAGTTGAAGCCATTACCATCCCATCTTAAGTATGCATATCTTGGGGAGGATAAAACCTTTTCGGTGGTGATTAGCTCAACCTTGGACCCAAAGCAAGAAGAAGATCTCTTGGAAATGATAAAGAGGTAGAAGGGGGCGATTGGTTGGACAATAACCAACATCAAAGGAATAAGCCCCATCATTTGCACACACTACTTATATCTTGAAGAAGACTCCAAGCCTTCTCGACAATCACAAACAAGATTGAACCCAATCATAAAGGATGTGGTGAGAGACGAGGTCTTAAAGCTACTTGACGTAGGCATCATCTTTCCAATTGCCAATAGTAAGTGGGTTAGCCCCACGCAAGTAGTCCCCAAGAAGTCGGGAGTCACCATGGTGGAAAATGAGGATAATGAGCTTATTCCAACAAGGGTGATCACCGGATGAAGAGTGTGCATTGACTACTACAAGCTCAACTCATGCACAAGAAAAAATCACTTCCCATTGTCATTTCTTGACCAAGTGTTAGAACGAGTAACGGGACATCTATTCTATTACTTCTTAGATGAATACTCTGGCTACAATCAAATCGAGATTGCATTGAAAGATCAAGAGAAGACCACCTTCACTTGTCCTTATGGTACTTTTGCCTACCGTCGTATGCCTTTTAGGCTATGTAATGCCCCGGGGACCTTTCAACATTGCATGATGGGGATCTTCAGTGACATGGTGAAGAAAATAGTGGAGGTCTTTATGGATGAATTTTTAGTGTTCGGGGATTCATTTGAAGGATGTCTGGGAAATTTCGAGAAAGTTCTAGAGAGATACGAGGAAAAGAAACTAGTTCTCAACTGGAAAAAGTGTCACTTCATGATGATAGAGGGAATTGTTCTCAGCCATATAGTGTCTGCAAAGGGTATCAAAGTTGATAAATGAAAGGTGGAGGCTATCTCCAACCTCCCTATGCCAAGAGTCGTCAAGGATATCCGGTCGTTTCTAGGCTATGCTGGTTTTTACCGTCACTTCATTAAAGATTTTAGTGCATTGACACAACCTTTAACCAATTTATTGTCTAAGGATGTCCCATTTGAGTTGTCAGATAGTTGTGAGGCATCTTTTACAAAACTCAAAAGCATGCTTACCACACCTCCAATTATGCGACCACTCAAATGGGATTTACCCTTTGAACTTATGTGACGTGAGTGATTATGCGGTCGGCGCAGCNTTTAACCAATTTATTGTCTAAGGATGTCCCATTTGAGTTGTCAGATAGTTGTGAGGCATCTTTTACAAAACTCAAAAGCATGCTTACCACACCTCCAATTATGCGACCACCCAAATGGGATTTACCCTTTGAGCTTATGTGACGTGAGTGATTATGCGGTCAGCGCAGTACTCAATCAAAGAGAGGAGAATAGAATTATAGTACCACAAAAAAGGAGCTGCTAGCGGTAGTGTTTGTATTGGATAAATTTTGGTCTTACATCATTGGTTAACTAATACTAATCTATACTGATCACTCTTCTTTGAAGTATTTGTTGTCTAAGCAGGATGCCAAACTGAGACTTATCAAGTGGATCCTCCTACTCTAAGAGTTCAATCTGATAATCAAAGACAAGAAGGGAATGAAAAATGTGTTAGCAGACCATTTGTCCTAACTAGTGGTGCAAGAGGCCGATGAGAACATTCCTATCCATGATTTCTTCCCTGATNATCTATATTGATCACTCTTCTTTGAAGTATTTGTTGTCTAAGCAGGATGCCAAACTGAGACTTATCAAGTGGATCCTCCTACTCTAAGAGTTCAATCTGATAATCAAAGACAAGAAGGGAATGAAAAATGTGTTGGCGGACCATTTGTCCTAACTAGTGGTGTAAGAGGCCGATGAGAACATTCCTATCCATGATTTCTTCCCTGATGAACATTTGTTTTCAATTCATTCTATGTGTCCTTGGTATGCTGACATATGTAATTATCTTGCAATAGGAAAGATACCCCCGCATTAGAGCCTGGAGGATCTTAGAAGATTTATGGTGGATGTGAAGTACTTTTACTTCAACAACCTGCACCTGTTCAAGTACTACCCTGACCAAGTCATGCGAAGATGCGTACCAAAAAATAAACAGTGGGATGTCCTTGCATTTTTTCATTCACAAGCATGCAGTGGCCACTTCTTTGTGAAGAAGACTTCAGCAAAAATTCTTCAGTTAGGTTTTTACTAGCCCTCCCTTATAAAAGATTGTATTTCATTTTGTAAAGAATGCAATATATGCCAACGCTTGGGTAGTGTGACCCGAAGAAACATGATGCCCCTTTCCCCTATACTTGTGATAGAAATATTTGATTGTTGGGGCATTGACTTCATGGGTCCCTTTCCTATGTCGTTTGGCTATTTATACATTCTGCTGGCAGTGGACGCCGTGTTGAAATGGGTGGAGGCCATCCTAACCGAGGCCAAGTCGAGTTAGCCAATAGGGAGATCAAAAACATTTTAGAAAAGACAGTGAACCCAAATAGGAAAGATTCATTTGACGTTAATTTTTGTGCATTTTCTTCCATACATTATCTTTGAATCTCTTGTAAGAACTTTGTAAGCTTCATTTAATGTTTTTAATGCTATTCACTGCAAGTTTATTTCAAGTTTAATCTTTCGTTTTATTTTTCACCATTAATGCTTCCAAGTTCTTCATTTCCAAGCTTTAAGATGAGTATTAAATGCACTTTCTTACAGTCTACATTTTCTCACATTAACTTAACTCCAATCGTCATTTCTTTATAATGTCTTCTCATTACATTGTTGTCTTTCCTTTGATCATGAGTAGCTAAGATTTAAGTTGGCTAATCCAAGGGAGAACTCGTCTTGGGTATGCTACTTCAACTCATTTTCTTTCACCCTCTTGGTGTACGATGGCTCGGTTTGACTGGGTTGGGTGTGGATGTGATTGTGAGTCTTTGATATCCCATAGACTTGTCACGAGTTATGCTTGGATCCTCACTTCCATCTCATCCCTAGCTTCCCACGAATCAATCGAACATCTACGCACCATTGAAGGAAGGTTTCGAGTTAACTTGGCTTTCCCATTGGAGTGAACCTTTCAGATTAGCCAACACTTATTTCTCATTTTCATCACAACACAATCACAAACAAAACTCAAACATAAAATATTTTTACATTTTTCCCTTTTTATCAAAATCACCTTCAGCACAATTTACTTCCTTCCCTGAGGAGACGACCTTGGAATACTTTTCCAAGTAAAACACGACACACAAAAGTCTCTCTGCGCTTAGGGAGCATTTTTGTACACACATACTTCATTCCACCATTATTCCATTGCCCTTTCATTTGGCATCATTCTAATGGAGAGTGACACTCCCCCATTCCTATAAGCCATACACAATTAAGGGATAATGCTCGGAGACTAGGAAATACAACGGAACCCAACAAGCACTTAGACAATGAAATTACTTTTGATTTGGTCCAGTTCGTGAAGCTATTACTTGATTTGAGTGAACTGTTGGGACATTCCTCCTTCTACCTGCAATCATTGACTTCATCCATAATCAGGATTACCAGCCAAAAAGAAAGCACAGGCTTAAAGAAAATGAAAGACAATGAGAGATGAAACTACATATATACACACATAAGATAAAATAATGCTCCAAGGTTTTGACAATTGTACTGGCCCATTANAAACTACATATATACACACATAAGATAAAATAATGCTCCAAGGTTTTGACAATTGTATTGACCCGTATTCCTTTTTCAAAGCTTACCTTTCTCATCTATGCATCCCCTCCACCCCTGTAGGCATAGCAGTCCATATGGACACATCCATATAAGTTTTTCATGTTCTCTTTGTCCATCATGTTTTGATTACAACAACTTTGAATATAAACCTAATTGTTGAAAGTTGTTCTTGTGCCAACTCTAGTGAAGGTAGAAATGATGATAGCATTCTTAAGTTGTTTTAGCTCTTGAACAGAACCAAGTGGCATCTTCTTACNTTCTCTTTGTCCATCATGTTTTGATTACAACAACTTTGAATATAAACCTAATTGTTGAAAGTTGTTCTTGTGCCAACTCTAGTGAAGGTAGAAATGACGATAGCATTCTTGAGCTGTTTTAGCTCTTGAACAGAACCAAGTGGCATGTTCTTACCAATTTCATTGTCCAGAACAATGAAATTGTTGGACAAGTTCCACAACTCCACAGTTCCTTCGTCATGCATGGTGTTGGACTCGACAAAGCACCTCAAATACACAGGGATAAAATCTTTGCCCTATAAACTACTAATAGCTACCAAAACAAGGAATCATTATGAGAAGGAAATGGGAAACCATCATTATACAATAAAAAAATCCAGTGTGCTACACTGAAATTTTTAGAATATTTTGTAGCTCATGCACAACATGATAAGTTTAATACATTTAAATCAAAGCAACCAACATAATATAAAGTGTTTTCAAAAACCTTATCTATAGAGTCTAATGTTCATTGAAAAACCAACAAAATATAAAGTCCCATCAAAACCATTATCTGTTGTTCACCAAGAAAACACAATGTTGTTAAAAATGCATTTAAATCAAAGGGAGAAAGATAAATCCTGCTTTTCTATTGTAGCCATATTTTTCCAGCTTCCCATTCTNTAAAAATGCATTTAAATCAAAGGGAGAAAGATAAATCCTGCTTTTCTATTGTAGCCATATTTTTCCAGCTTCCCATTCTGAAGTGCAATAGTCTTTCTATTTTTTTGCCTTTTTCCTCGTTTGTTCTTTACTTGTTTCTGGATCTTCTATTTTTTCCACTTCTTGCGCCCCAAAGCGTCCTGATGATCGATCAGCATCGCTGATTTTGTGCATCCTTTTTAAAAATTTGTAGTATCTTCCACTGCACAAAATTAGCTTTCTGTAGAACTTGCAGTGCATGTTGTTTTGTTGGATATGTAATTTTAGTTAGTAGTTGTCATTTTTTTGTATCGATTTTTTTAAAAAAAATATTTTGTACCTGTGTTTTTGATTCAATAAACTCTGAAAACTATACATGCTACCAAAGTTTCTGCTGCATCGAACAAAGTTATCCAAGCGCTTTGGTCTTCATCCAACAGAATGAGCTTTACTATATATTTGTGATATGTGGATTGTCCAAATAAGTTATAATTGACATGATTGAAAGTAGGTATTCCATAATGAATCTATACATTGTAATGACCAATAGGGAATAATTTTAGTTATTTACCTCAGAGTGTGTTCGACATTGCTTTTCTTGCACTTCTTACATTCTGCTCCTTCTCCATCATTGAAAAATCTACTTCGACATTGGTTGCAGGCATCATACCATGGTTCATCTTTATTCTCAATCTCCAGAATCATTCCACTCAAAAAGCATAAAGGTTTCTAAAATTTTAAATACATTGATAGTCAAGTTGATTTTATCGATGTTGTTGAGAACTACAATTGCTAATATATATTGAACTCATACCGTCACTGTGGATGGTGCAGCATTCATGATGTCAACAATTGTGACATTGTCTGCATCACGGTTTCTTTTCGGTGGAGCTGATAATTGATTTGCATTCCCTTTTTCAAGAAAAGCAATTTTTTTATTTCATTATGTAAGAGCTCTTTTTTTTGGGGTCCTAGTTAATAGTAATTTTATAATTTCATATAAATACCAAGCATTCTCGTTGTATACCATTGTCGCATTTGGTATGTCTTCTCCAACTTTGGATTTATTTCAATTGTAGTAATAGATGTTGTCGTGAGTTGAAATCCACCTGCAATGTAATAAAAATGCTTCAGAATGTTTTTGAATGCTTCACTAATTGATAAATGATTGTTTAATACCTTCATATGAGGACCTATTTGCATTAGATACTACAATTATTGGGTTTTCTGGAAGCAACTCAGCAAGTAACTATCCTTCATTTTCTGCTAGATCACCCCATAGAGTCAACCGTAGAGACTCCAATCTATAGTCATAGAATGGTTAGAAACTTATTGGGTGGGCAATATTTAGGTTGTATTGTGNTATTTGCATTAGATACTACAATTATTGGGTTTTCTGGAAGCAACTCAGCAAGTAACTATCCTTCATTTTCTGCTAGATCACCCCATAGAGTCAACCGTAGAGACTCCAATCTATAGTCATAGAATGGTTAGAAACTTATTGGGTGGGCAATATTTAGGTTGTATTGTGTAAGACAGTTGTTGTATTTGAAGTCATTACTCAGTATTCTTGATGAGAACTTATCACATCTTAGACGATGGTCCTCCACTTTTGTTGATGTTCACTATTGGCTTGATTTCCACCACAAATCCTATGATGTTTGCATACAAATTTGGATTTTGAGAATAGTATCATGTTGAAAGTTGCAATATGCATGTTGTTTGTAATGTTGTTCAAGCCTAGATACCATATGCAATGGCCTCATCTCTATGTGTGAGTACATCTTTAAAATTTATAAAGTTATAAGCCTGTATAAGGGGGAGTATTTCGGTTTTAGCTTCTTGCACATTGGTATTGATTGTGAGTGAAAATGCAATATCCTTGTGTACATTGCTGAATTTTTGATTTGATGGCTTCACTACTCCATTGGAAATGAGATACTGTAACGACCCAATTTTTCTTCGTCTCGGAGAAGTTAATTGATATAAAAACACCCAAATAAAAATAACAAAGTGCTAATTGTCCCAATAAAATTTCATTTATCAAAATCATCTGCCAATACAAATAAATTCGTCAATATAAATAAATCTCCCAATACCATTGAAACATCAATTACATCGACATCTTCTCGTCTTTAATACTATGANCAAATAAATTCGTCAATATAAATAAATCTCCCAATACCATTGAAACATCAATTACATCGACATCTTCTCGTCTTTAATACTATGAATATCTCATTCCGATCCTTTCTCTAAAATTAACCTAAAAATATTAAATAAAGTGGGGAAGTATACAATATGACAAGAAAAAATATGCTCTAGGACATTGAATACCAAATAATCGAGTGTCACGAAGTATCTCAATCAACAGATACAAATATCAAATTTGCATATCACACGTCATACAGGATCTTAACACAGATCTAACACCTCACCAATCATCCCACCTCAACCCGATTATNATTTGCATATTACACGTCATACAGGATCTTAACACAGATCTAACACCTCACCAATCATCCCACCTCAACCCGATTACGGGTTTCTTGGCTGGCAATGCATCGACTATTCGCTACCACGATCCCGTCTCAATACCTGCATAACACGATCAATGAGATTAAAATATTCAATGATTTTCAATCAAAATTCTAAAATAAAGATAGCACAAGTTGGAATACAAATCAAAGGACAATAAAGAAAAACTCTTTGCAAAGAGATTTAAAGAGAGCATATTGCATACCACCCCATACCTCAAAATCATTATTTGAATTCGATAACTCTGCTTTCTATTTCATTCTTCTTACTTTCGGTTAGCCCTCTGCTTCTCATTTTCCTGTTCTTTTTTTTGGCTAGAAAACTCCCTCTCTTTGTCTCTCTCTCTATTTATCTTGCAAGATCACCTCCACTTTTTTTTTTGACTAATTGCTTGACAAAATTCCTTGTAGTTTCCTAACCACTAAACATCACCTTTTAGCATGTATAGTATATGGACGAAGGGGAGTGTCACTCTCCTATGGGTGATGTCAAAAGAAAGGGCAAGGAGAGGGGAAAAAATGAAAGGATGGTAATGTGATGTGTAAATGCACAAAAATGTGTGTACAGGGAAGGAAGTTCAAGTGTGTGAATGTGATTTTGTCAAAATGGAAGAGAAGTGTAAAATATTTTGAATTTTGAGTTTGGTGATTTGTGTTTTTGATGGAAATGAAATAAAACAAGTGTTGACTAATCCAAAGAGGTCATTCCAATGGGAATACCAACTCAACTCAAAACCTTCCTCCAATGGTACTTAGATGAACGATTGATTCATGGGAAGCTAGGGACAAGATGGAGGTGAGGATCCAAGCATAACCCGTGACTAGGCCTATGGGATATCAAAGACTCACAACCGCATCCACTCTCAACCCAGTTAAACTGGACCATCGTACGCCGAGAGGAAGAAAGAAAATGAGTTGAAATGAAAAATTCAAGAGGAGGTCTCCCTTGGATTAGCCAACTAAAAATCTAGCTACTCATGAAAGCAAGAAGGAAATGCATAATGTAAATAGACATAATGAAGAAAGGAAACATGAACCTTAACTTAATGCAAGAAATCTTAAACTATGAAGAAAAATATACAATACCCATTTTAAAGCTCGAAAATGAAGAAAACTTAAGACAACAATGGTAGAACTAAGATACTCAATTAAAATTGCAAGGCACTTGAAATTAATGACATTAAAAGTAAATAATGAAGTTTACAAGAGTCATACAATAAAATACAAGTGAAATGATGGAAGAAAATGCAAAAATCCAAGTTTTCTATTTACTATTCATCATCTTCCTCCTTGGAGCTTTTAAGCTTAGGTAGCCACACCTTAATGGCTTCTAAATGTTGAATATACGGACTGTGAGATAATGCATTTTTGTCCTTGAGGCTCTCCTAGCCTGTGTGCAGGCCTACCATCAATGGGAGGTGAGTGGATGGCTTTCGACAGGCTAGGAAGAGCATAGCCTGCACCCAAGATGGCTAGGGTGTATGAAGCATATGGATGTGTAAGGGAAGTCAGGGGCAAGTGGGAGACTCAATGGTGGGACACCCAAGCAAGTGGACCATGAGTTGCAGGCGTTCTGGGCAGTCTAGGCACAACGTATCGGTACAGTTTGGCTACTGGAGTTCGGGGTACCGGTACATTGTGTTGCTTTGGACTAGTTTTTATAGCATCATCATAACCTTTGCTCCAACTGTCCGATTAAGCTACAATTTTGACATAATATAGAAGATATCCAGATCTACAACTTTCATGTTTTGAACTTGTTCAGATTCGAAGTGGATCATGGTCCAAAAAGAGGAAAACCGAGGTACTGCTACAAAATGGTGTGGCTGCTGATGCCTATGTTACCCAACACCAATACCTCCTTGATTTCTTTCACTTTTAAGCCTCCAAATCCTCATGTAATGTGTCCATCTCTTCACCACTCCTCCACACTTAGTTGCAATGTTCTAAAATCCATCATTTAAGCTATAATTACCTAGAACATCGAAAATTCAACATTATTCATATTTTGGCTAATTCTAAGTACTTAGATGCAAAAGTTGAGTTAAAATTCATGTAATGAGGCCGTCAAATATGCAATATTATGCGCTCATCACTAATGTATTCAATGCTAGCTGCAATCCCCATTTCTTTATTCTTTCTCTCTTTTTCTTTTTCTTTACCTTGCCTTGTCTCTTTTCTTTTCTTTTTTCTAGTTATGAGCACACTTCCCACAAATTCCATTTAAGATCTAAAGCCTAGGCCCTAATAGCAGGTTTGGTATCAGATCCTATGAATTAGGTCTTATATAGGAGATGTAGGTTATGGATTACCACTAAAGAGGTAGAACTAGGTTGAATGAATTGTTGACTTAATTCTTATACAATCCTTATGCTTTAAATTATAGTGATAGTTAGGGTGTCTAGCACATTACAGAAACTAAATTATAAATAAATGTGTAGGATAGATGGTAGACAAGGACGTGGATGTGGATGCGGGCGTGGGGGTCAAGCAAACCCACCACCACCTCCAGATGCCATGAACGGCATTTATCAATGCTTAAGGGATCTAACCACTTTGGTACAACACCAAAATGGAAACAGCCATAACAAGGGAGGGTTCAGCCATTAGCTCTTGTACTAGGCAACGAGGACGAGAATAGAAGGATGATAGTTCTTAGAGAATTCTTGAGACAATGCCCACCTACCCTCTAAGGAAGCTCTCGCCTTTGGAGGTGGATAAGTGGATTCGTTGGGTGAAGAAAAAGAGTGATATCATGGGAGTTGTCGAGGATCTATGGGTTGGCCTAGCTACATATTTACTGGAAGAGGAGGCAAATCATTGGTGGGATTCGGTGAAAAGAAGGAGGAACACTGATGCTTTTACCTGGAGGAGTTTGATCAGNGACGAGAATAGAAGGATGATAGTTCTTAGAGAATTCTTGAGACAATGCCCACCTACCTTCTAAGGAAGCTCTCGCCTTTGGAGGTGGATAAGTGGATTCGTTGGGTGAAGAAAAAGAGTGATAGCATGGGAGTTGTCGAGGATCTATGGGTTGGCCTAGCTACATATTTATTGGAAGAGGAGACAAATCATTGGTGGGATTCGGTGAAAAGAAGGAGGAACACTGATGCTTTTACCTGGAGGAGTTTGATCAAATCTTCGAAGACAAGTATTTTCCTGAATCGG